TTCATCTCTCCCAACTCTATTCAATATGGTATACCTGTTAGAAAAGGGTTTGGTCATAGGGAACTTCTGCACTACCTGCCTCCCTCTACTCCATCTGGCGGTCACTCATGCCCTTTCTGCCTGTTCAGTCTTCACCTGCGATGTGACCACCTCACTGAACGTGCTATCCATGACTCACTCAGTATCAAGGGTCCTCCACAGTGAATTCACCCACAGCTCCAGTTCTGAAATACAGTTCACCAATCGCTGCAGCTAGACACTTTTCCTGCACATAAGGTCACCAGGGGCTACCAAAGCTTCCATGATTTGCCATGTAACACAAGAGAAGCGTATCACAGGCGTAAGCTCTGCTTCCGTGACTTCTATTAAGCCCCTTAGTAACTCTTTTTTTATAAAAAATATGCTTCTGTAAGAATACTATTAACTTACTTCCCTTGCACCAACTGTACTTCCCTTAGCCTACCCTGCTTACTTATATTCCATTATTATATTGGCCGTTACTTTTGATTATTCGTTTTTTCTCAGTTAATCCCTTTTTCCAAGAAAAATGTACTTTTTTTTTTAGAAATCACAAACCCATCAACACACCACTTTCGAGTGATGTCACTGTTTTGGTTTGTTTTCCAAATCAGCAGTGCCCTGAATCTGCAGCTGTTAAACGGGGACTGCCTTCTCTCTGCTCAGTTGAGGCTCAAGAATGTAACATGACGAACTATAAACCCTGAAAAAGACCGTGTGAACTATGAACAAAAAAAAATGCAGAAATACATGGAAATGCAGATTTTTCTGTCAGTGGGTGAGTCCGTGATCCTCTGTAGAATTTGTTGTGGAGGTTCCCACAATCTGCTTTCTCCCTTGCAGTTAGGAATTGATGAGAATTTCGCTGCCAATAACTTGCTGCAATTTTTAATGATGATGGGCTAAAACAAAAGATTTTTTTTAAAATGTGAAAACATTGATTTCAGCATGTCAGAAATATAAAGAAAAGCTTTTGAAACCAGTAGGGATACTTAAGAACAACTGTAAAATTAGTAAAAATCCAGTTACATCTCATTTAACACCAAATCTTCCCTTTCCAGCACTGCTGTCCTCACTGAAAACAAAACCCTGGAAAAAAGTGTAATTTATACTGGGTGAATCTTCTGGTCCCAGAAGTGATGGGCCTGGATTTAGAAGGGCAACTTGCTGAGGTGGGTGGTCGTGTACCACAAACTGCTGCCTTTCGACCTTCACCTGAACTGACTTTGGGATAGGGAGGCTCATGTTCAACCTTCTTTCTTTGCCACCAGTTCAAGCTCTTGTGCTAGACCAGAGTGGGTAGCCTGCCATTTTTGGGCAGACGTCGGGTGGGGTGTCAGGTGAACTGTACAATGGAGCCATGATGTGGAGGTGCCAGTGTTGGACTGGGGTGGACAAAGTCAAAAATCACACACCAGATTATAGACCAGCAGGTTTATTTCACATCTCAAGCTTTTGGAGCGCAGCCCCTTTGTCAGGTGTAGTGAGAGGAGAGCAAAGAGTTTATAGGAAGAGAAATGAAGGGCAGAGAGATCAAAGGATCATACAACTGGTGTGAGTGGAGTGAACAAACCCAAAATTGCTGGCTGACTGCCTCCTGTTGAATCTTTAATCACTTATACATTCCTGCATTCTCTCAACTACAAAAGCAGGATATGGAGAATGCAAGTTTCAATTGATTAAGATGCAAATTCCAGAATCTGTTTCAAGTCACTGTCCTGAGATAATTAAAGGTTTCATCAGTGTCTGCCTAACTTTCCAAACTTCAAACAGGCAGAGCGATAGAAATATACGAAAGAGAGGGAGAGTGCGTGTGCGTGCGCACACTTGAGAGAGGTCTGAGTGTGTTTGTGTCTGATAGTGTAATAAGTAATAATTAAGGTCACGTGTTGGGGGTGGGAGGAGTTCAGTGGTGAAGTCGGGTGGGTGCGTGGGGAAGAGGAGGATGTTGGTTGTTTCAGACGTCCAGTGCTGTGCACCTAGGGAATTAGTCAGGGGGTCCATTTAATAGTTACCCGGGAGTTAGATGAGGTAAATCTGATAAATGTCCTGGGATAGCTTTTGAGATTAAGAGAGTCGGAACCCACTTACTGCTTTAGTGGACTTTTTTTGGAGGGTTTGAGGTAGGGAGTTGCTCGTTGGAAAATTCAATTTCCCAGGCAATTCCCATGGAGTATTGGGGATTCTGAACATTCCTGATGCACACCTCCAATTTGCACTGCTCCAACGACTGTCTCGCCTTAGAATAGCTGGGGCAAAACGTTTTCTCATCAACATCATCACGTACGTGCTACTCGAAGGCAGGTCATTGTCTAGCATAGTTTTCCAGTGTCTCAATATCCTGTGTCATTCTTTTCATTTGCCAATAACTTCTTTCAATTGTCAATAATTACGGGTTAAAATAAAGATTTTTTTAAAAATTTGTGAAAACATTGATTTCAGCATATCAGAAATATAAAAGTAGCTTTTAAGGACCAGTAGAGATGTTTAAGAAAAACTATAAATTAGTAAAAATCCAGTTACATCTCATTCAACATGAAATTTTCCATTTGTCAGGCATCTCACTTGATTGCTCAAAAGGTGACGAGACATTAGAACTGACTTTAAAGAGAAACAACCATACTATCTAAAAGCCTCTCTGCTCCTATGATGCTGCTTGGCCAGCTGTGTTCATCCAGCCCTGCACCTTGTTGTCTCTATCTCTGACCCTATCGTCTGCTGATTAGGTTTAGAGACAATGAAAGGCTTCCCCTGAAGATCACGTGACATTTTATCCAGCAAACGCTGGTGTCCAATCAGAAGCCGGGAGCTCCCTCACCCAGTGAAGGCCATTGCTGGAGATTGGGTGCCACAGATAAGGGGGTGCAATGAGGTTGGTAGCAAGGACAAGGGAACGTCCCTGGGGCTCTGAGCGACGACTCCCCTGACGTACCTACATCCAGTCCCTCCCTCGTACAGAGTCAAAAATCACATGACCACCAGTTTATAGTCCAGCAGATTTATTTAACATCTCAAGCTTTCGGAGTGCAGCCCCTTCGTCAGGTGCAGTGAGAGGAGAGCACACAGGCACAGAGTTTATAGGGAGAGAAACGAAGGGCAGAGAGATCAAAGGATCATACAACTGGTGTGAGTGCAGTGAACAAACCCAAAATTGCTGACTGACTGCCTCCTGTTGAATCTTTAATCATTCATACATTCTAAAAATTGCAGAAGCAGGGTACAGAGAACACTGTTAGAAAGGAGACCTAAGTTTCAATTGATCGAACCGTCCCTCTCATGCCCACTTCCTTGACCTAACACAACCTGTCCATCTTCTCTCCCACGTATCCACTCCTCCCACCTCACTGACCAATCCCCACCACTGCCTACCTGCACTCACCTATCACCATCCTACCTACCTTCCCCAGTCCCACCTCTCCTATCTCTATTTATTTCGCAGTTCCCTTCCTCCTCCCACATTTCTGAAGAAAGGTCCCGACCCGAAATGTGAACTTTCCTACTCCTCTGATGCTGCCTGGCCTGCTGTGTTTCTCCAGCTCCACACTGTGTTATCTCAAATTCTATGAGGTCCACCTGGCTGACCTTGTAACAATCACTGGAACTTTCTTCCTGGTTATCTTTGATGAGGCACATCACGATAGGCTAGTATAGGATTCTCAGCCATAAAAATCGCTGGCATGAAAGTGGGCAATTTCAGGAGGGCACCGTCTGACCGATCTGGTCTGATGATAATTTGCAATATGTGAGCCTTAATTTTTTTTTATTTCTACACGTAATCACTATTTGAAGATTTAAATTAGAAGTGAAAACTACGTATCTAATCACTCTCACTGCATGCCAAGACATCTACTTGATTTGGTGTAGGTTTATAAACCATTCAAGATCTGTTTATGAACTGGAACCAAAGGGAAATTCACATTACAGAGATCACAAGATCTTTATGGATAGCTTATGACCAAGCAAGGTCAGTGACAAGCACCCTTTCTTCAAATCTGGGCCAGTGTGGTTGGTCCAATGGTACCCCTTGTTGTCAAGCCCAAGTGAGGTTGAACACTGTTGTCAGCAGTCAATTGGAGAGTGGACAATAGTGCTAATCTTGAACTCAGACAATGCCCATTTGTTTGGTTCTAACTGCTTCTTATCCTCGGAGCAACCTTGCAATTATGTCATGGAACTGTGAAACACGGAGCATAAATAGCAGTGTGGACAGAGAAGGAGAAAATGAGAATCATGAGAGCATATGGACATTATCACGTAATGAAGATAGATAGCCCTTATTTAATGTGGCTATCCAACAAAGCTTTATATCTATGTTCACCATGATTTGCAGTATTTAGTGCTAACGTATCATAAATAGTATTACTTTGAAGTCTAAGCCTAAAGGCAGTTTTTAATTTTTCCCTTCTCCTCGCTCAGTGTCTTGACCCAAAGTCATAGTGTAGCATCAAACCATTATTCACAATCCTAAAGTTAAATTGATGAGTACAGAACAGGGTTGGTGTCAGTGATCAATAGAAATACCCCAGCTGTATATTAAGATGTACGTGCACGTCATAGCTGAGTTGAAACAAAAAAAAACATAGATTGCTAGAAATGCTGAGCAGGTCTCGCAGCATCTGTGGAGAGATATCAGAGTTAATGTTTCCGGTCCAGTGACCCTTCCTCAGAACTGATGGTAGCTAGGCAGCTCTGATGAAGAGTCGTCTACAGTGAAACGTGAGCTTGCTCTTTCTCCATGGATGCTGTCTGACCCGCTGTGATCTCCAGCATTTGTTGTTTTCAGTACAGATTCCAGTATCTGCAGTAATTTGCACCTGAGTAGCTCGGAAAAAGTTGGTTTTCTTTCGTAAAATTGGGTGGGGGAGCGGGTAAGGAAGAAACGATGGATTGAGACTAGAGCCCGAAGAGAGAGAACAGTTGGATAGACAAAGCAGTAGATGACGATCAGCCTGGGAGAATAGCTACTAATTGAGCTGAAGTCAGTTTGTGGAACTGTCGTGCGGGTTCATTGTTGCTCATTCAGTGTTGGGACGGACACGGAAGCGGAAGTGGGGTTCAGAGCACATTTGTCCTAGTGCACGGGTGCGGTGAGTTTCTGTGGCTGTTTCTTTGTATCGGTTCCCTCTGGGTTTGTGCAGGAATAAGCGGGCAACCGGAGTGTCCTTCCCTCGCGAGTTCGGTGGGATGGGGAATGTTGCTGTGGGTTTCGGGCTATTTCTGTGCCGCGTTCGCTCCCTTCCCCGGGTGATGGCTGGGCCCGGTTAATGCCACCAAAACCAATTCTCCTTGGCTTGAACACTGAGGGTCACTGAAGAAGTCACATCAGTCGGGATTTAACCTTGCAGGATATGTAATATAGCCGTGAAATTCACTTTCATTTAGATTGTTCTGGATGTGACTTCGTTGAGGGGCGGAGCGGATGTAAATATCAGGACAGAAAGTGGGGACCAACTATTCAAACCGAGGGGGCCGTTTCGATCAACGGGTTTTACCGGGAAACGATGCTGGGCAGTTAACTCCCGATGCAAACTGTCACCTAGGGTACAAGTCTTATCGAAACTCGTGACCGGGAAATAATGAGTAACCAACAATGATAAAGCGAAATCGAAAGTTCAGTCTACGGAGATAAGAGTTGGTTTCGTCAAGCATTTGGATCAGTGTAGAAACAGGCCATTCGGCCCAACATGTCCACATAGCCCCTCCGAAGAGCATCCCATCCCAACTCTTTCCCCTACCCCTGTATTTCCCCATGTATAACCCCCACCAAACCTAAACATCCCTAGACACTATGCGCAATTTAGCATGGCCAATCCACCTACCCTGCACATATTGGCCTGAGTAGTTTTCTATATACCTAACAATAAAGTAGACAGGTTGAATTGGTACTTTTTTCTTAAATGAATAAATTGCAAGCAACACCAGTAGTAATTTTCAGGAGTCCACTATTTTGACTAAGCAAGTTCAATTTGGCACAAAGTTTCAAACTTACATAAAAATGTCATATTTTAGTGTATCTTAATCCTATACAAAAATAGCTACTTATTTCATAGGAGGTGAATGTGCTTTCAATGTATCTGGTAAAGTAAAATATTGAAATCCTCCTACAACCTGCATGAATTTCATGTACAGAGATGCTTCATTGTAAGTGTAGGTTGGCTAATTACCTCATAGGTTAACCTGTCATCCACCATATTGTGGAAAGGGAAGACTCTTGTCCAATCCCTTACATCAGTTTCGCTTGAGTTATGGAGATAGTAGGAACTGCAGATGCTGGAGAATCTGAGATAACAAGGTGTAGAGCTGGATGAACACAGCAGGCCAAGCAGCATC